TGATTTCAAGCTCTAGTCTCTCAAAAGCTCGATGATCACAACGAATGTTATGTATGTTTTGCAGCAGCACTTTATGCTGATGGTAATTACCGCGACAGTTGTCGTGTCTCCTAGACCATCCGAAAGGTAAGCTCTTAACAATTGTGAAGGGAATGCGATTAGAACAAGAGCAGCCCGCATCGGAGGGTATCTGTGTGGCACGTGATGAAAGGTCATGTCAAAGAAGTTGCTGCCCGCTTAGGTGCGTGTGCGTGATGAGCAGAAGAACAACTGAAATGCATTCAAGAACGCGACATTGGGGCCTTGCGTGGCCTGGCAGCGCGAGCCGTATGAAGTAAATGCGCGCATACGTGTGTGATGGTGGGACTAACTAAATGTGCGACAAATACGCAAATTATTGGATAAACAAATTGATCAAAGTAATCACAATATGGAGAAGATAGTATCCTGTCATGATTCAAATTTGTGTCAAATGAAACCCAAAAACACTGAGTAACCAGGGCCCATGCACCAATTGACCCCTAGTAGGTGCAGCTGACTCCCACTTGTTTGATAATTTTCCTTCTCAAATTCGGTGAATTAGACGCCATTTTAGAATTGATTTACAACACAAAGGGACTAGAATAATCTTATTATTTGTAGTGAATATTATTAAGGTGTTTCGTATGTCCCATCCACTGCATCTCCATCGCGGAATTGTTTCCTGGAGCGCGTGCTCCTCTCTCCAGCAGACTTTACAATCTACACTACCGTTTTCTCTCAAATAAATTCGTTCTGTAAGAAACATAGAAGGGCGCGATTCGTCGTACCCTTTCAGGTAAAACGTACAATATAGTTACTTGACCACCACCATAATTCCTTTGATTGAAAATTAATTCAACTTTTTGAATTATAGAAACGTGTTTGCTACCAATGAGAGCCGACGACGCGTGCGTGTAGGTCTATGAATACTCCACTTTTACCGATATTAAATTTCCGCTAAGAAAGGGGTAAGCGATACAGATGAAATCCCAAGGTGGCCAAAACAGCTATCGATACACTTCAAGTGTCTTCACGGTAGTCAACCGTCAAGCCGCCTCTAAAGTCAAAGTAAATATATTTTGTCCTTCCCCTCCAGAAGTCAAACTCATACTATGCAAAGAACATTATTTAAATTTTTATCAATCCAAACCACCAAATAACCGTTTTTAATTCCTTTTGATTGTCATTTCAAGAATTTCATTCGGGTTTTAGTCTAGCGATCTGTCTTTACATGCTCTGTAAACGACGATATGACATTATAAAATTAGCTTTGTTTCATAAAACATTTTCCTCCGATTCCACCTGACATATTTAAGCTTCTAGTACCATCATCCCAACAACCTCTTGCACAAGGCTGCCAATTACGTGACACTGTTCGTTATCATTCGACGATATCTTATGTCTTCCACGCAAATAAGTAAAAGCCTTTCACTGTGACTTGAGGCCCTTTGTCTGAGTAACCTACGTAAGACCATTTTTGTGTTCAACTTCCGCAGTTTGGCTGCTGACAACGACGTGGGTGTCAACAGCTAAATTGAGAAATCTTTGCACGGAGTTGTACTAGTTTCGTCTAAGCAGGTGGCATTTAACTTTGACAAATTAATGTCATCCAGCCGGTTTTCGGGTGCAGCACACTGTCCGCTAACAAAATTAGCTGGCTTAAACTCACCCGAGTTCCATACCTATAGTTTGAAGTGTCTTTAACCAAAACTAGTAAGACTGGAACTCAGCCCCTGTCGGGTTTCTTCTAAAAATCATTTAGCAAGAAACATTTGGCTAGCCATTTTAGACGTTATACCCACAGTCTTCCCAATTTCTCTAATCTATTACAAAACGTAAAGTTTTCGAAATATGACTATGGATCTATATGAAGTCTCAAAATGGAAGCATGACAGTAACGTTAATAATCATGGGAGATTTATCAATTGGATTCAGCAACCTTAATTGTTGGATTAACACCCAATATTTGAACAGTTTTGTGATGGTGCAAGGGATCGATATGGGTAGACCGGAATCTTGCCTTGGGTGGCTCGAAATATGGGCTGATTTTATCCAACGAAATCCCAAAAAGGTTTCTCGAAGTCTGGTTAAAAAAGGGAGTGATTGTAGAACTGGCAAGCTCGCTATTCATATATTACTTAAAAGGCAAAAGTCTATAACTAGAAATAATAATTTGAGATAGTATTCAGCTACAACGACGGTATCAGACCACAGTCAGAGGTGGCCAATGTACAATTGCAGAGCGAGGAGTGCTATTCGTAACCTTAAAAGCACTCTTAATTACACACTACTCCCAAATCCCATTCAAATGCAGTCGGTTAAGCTAGCCGTCATAGGAATCGAATATTTGATCGTCAATGTTAAGTAAGAGGAATCCCCAGTGGATTAGAAACGGTGGGTTGGAATTATTCACTTCATAAGTAGCAGGAATTACATATTGGCGAACTTCGTTTGTTCAAAAATGGGATGTCATTTTCGTACGTCTGGAAACAAACGTAGCAATGGACTTAGTTTCCCCTAAAATTATTTCAGGAATTCCAAAATTATTGCCTTGTATTATAATTCGCTCTAAGCGACTATGGTTAAAACATGTCTTAATGAAATGTATTTAACCTCCAAAGATAGAAAATATGGTAGGGGTTTCCAGCAGACCCATTTGTCGTGATTGACATCGCTCGGCTTTTCAGATGAGGTGGGGTGCGTGTGTGTGTGTGTGCCAAAATCCAACCGAATCGCACCGTCCACCACTCATCTCGGGACGTGCAGAAGCACGTGCTCCACTTACGGACGATCTAATGAAGCCTAGATAAACCAGCTGTGAGTCTCAAAACCCAACATCGGGAATTCAATGGAACAGGCAGCACGAAAAATATCTGATGCGAAAATGTATCAAAATGAGCCCTTACTTGGCTACGAGACCAACTCGAATCGGCTGAAGTAAATCATGACAGGTTGAAATCCTTTACCAATATAACCTTCATCTCCTACCTGACCAAAGGAAATTCACTTCTATTTGAATCACATGGCGCGAATAAGTTCCGCTTCAACGAAACCACAAAGTGCACACCACCCCAACACTCCGACCACGAAACCCATTCAACACAAACTCACACTTTGGATGGATGGTTCCCACCCGGTTAATTCCTAGTCAATATGCATTCCTTACTACCGATACCCAAGACCGCTCACTGCCGTCTACTGCTCCATGCTCTTCCTTCTGCTCTTCATAACAACACCTTCGAGATGAACTGAGCCCCGCCATCCCAACAGTTCTTTGTTCAATCCTCAACCCGGGGGTTATTCCACTCACCCATGCATGACCCTGTTGAGCAACCATTGTTCGAAGTGTCTTGGCAATGATTACACACTAAGCTGCTTCGGGCCTGCAGCAGTACACACTACCGTTGTTCTCCGTTCCGTCAAGGGTGTGATACGCCTAGAACAGAATGCACGACAGAGTTGCTCAAACACTGAAGAGCCTCTAGAACCAGATTGAGCACATATTAGGTCGCGAATCGAAACGTTGCACGATGTCCCGCCTGGAGTAAAGTGACTTCTTCAACGTTTCACATTTTTTCACAAACCGAGGGATAGTAATAATTAAGTTTTATGTAGTTACTTCGTGTGTGCGTGAATTACATAAGATAAGGTTGGATGGAAGGACACCACAATGAAGCTGCCAGTAGTACAATAGCCGAGAAGATGTGGTTACTAATACGTCTGTGTATCGTAGGATTCACACTTTAAAAATCATAAAGAATGTGAAAAGAGAATGCGCGAACAAGAGAACTTGCAGGTTTCTTCACTAAAATTTGCCATGTGCATAAACACAAAGTGCAATCGTTGCGCGCAATTGCAGGCAATGGAGCAGACCAATTGAGGCTATGAAACGATGGTGTCAAGAATGAAACGAAGGAGGCACAGTAAACACTAATGCATAAAACTACACAGCTTCATTGGTAGTGACATGTGTGTGGGTGTATTTGTTTGCCCCGAAAGATTGAGAGACAGAATGGACGAGGAAGGTGTATAGTGGGCAGGGTACAAAAGTAGAAAAACGATAACGATAAAAAATTAAAAGTTCTGAGTTACGTTAGGTGGGGGTGTACCGAATAGGGAATATCATCAATTGCTTCTGCACATATAGAACCGTGAGGTGTATAGATAGGTTGATTTGACATCATCCTGTACCGGTTTGTTTGCGCAGCACAACGTGGATAATTTGAAAAGCTTTCTACTTGGGACATAAAGAGTTGGGAGTGGGTTTAACACACTGACTTCCAGCAAAACTCGGAAGTCCCGACCAAGAACAGACATGGTGGCGGGTGTATGAGAAAAGGGGTGTCAATGGCCGGTACAAAAATAGTACGTACCGCTGCATACGCAACAGTAGCAGGACACTCTGAGAAGAACCATCGCGAATGTTGTTGCTCAATTCCAGCAAGGGGTGGTTAAATGTGAATGTGGTAGGTAGGTAGGTAATGTGATGATTGTAGTACTCCTCGAAAGAGATGGAGTACACATGAAAGCTGAAGAACGTAACAAGACGAGCTCATAAATGGATGTTTTGAGGGGAGTGGGGGAGGCGACATCTTGGCATGCAACATGGAAAGATCAGACACAAAAATACAATGAGCAGGGATGGATGAATGACAAATTGTGGCTTTTTTAAGTTCGGATAAACGTGCTGGTACTTGTGATAAATCGGGCAAATGCAGACACTGGAAATCAGGTGGGGTTTCTCACTAAAGACGACTGAAAAATAGATACTTTGAGTGTAACAGTTTAAAAAATACGGGCCCAAATAAGGCCCGGGGCTGTAAACAAAGACACCGAGCGGTGGGGTGGAGGGTAAACTGGTGATTTCGTCAAGTCTGTGTATCAGAAAATACTCTCCCTCGTGCTTGTGGATATATGCGTTGGTGAACCCTGGGTTCGCGTTGTCTAGTGGCATTTAATCTGGGTTTGGTTGGGGTGCGTTAGACTGCGGGAATAGATGCCGCCTCATTCGGTCCCCCCGCGGTACCGGCTGGCGGGGTGCTCCGACGTCTTCCCTCCCCAATAGCTCCGCATCTGTTTGGCACACCACCACTTGACGAGGCAGTAACTCCGATGCCTGACAGTGGATTCGCGGTAAAACTGAAACTGGAGAAGAGCTCACCACTGCCACCCGTGCCAGGGGTGTCAGCCCAAATGCTTCGGATTGCAGCATCTGATGTAGCAGAACCGTCAGACAGACCATCAGAGCCTCCTCCACTGGAGAAAAATGAAGTTGGCCATGCCGATGAGGATTCTGCACCAGCGGAACCACGGTTATCGAATCCGGGCGGATAAGAGAGCTCTCCTCCGCTAATAGCTGGCCCGTCGCTGCCGAGACAGAGTGAATCTAGAGTCTGGATTAAATCAAATGGGGCATGCTCGGTAGTGTTAGTGCCCGAAACTGGTTTACTATTCTCCTTAACCATATCGGCAGCAAGACTTTCCAACAGGAGCTGGTGATGGTCGGGACGATTATCAACGAGGTCTGAAGCCATTGTGTGGCGACGCAACATGATGGGACTGTTCTGGGAAATATTTCCATTGCCGTTGCCAGAGGGACCAGCAGAGAATGAATTGCGAGCCGCGGATAGGGGATGGGGTGTGTGGTTTGGCCAGAAGGCGGAAGTCGAGGATCCCCCACCTAATAGTTGAAGATCCTGGAAATCCGACTCAGTATGGTACTCGACGTCTGAAAGAGGGCATTAAGGAGAATGAAAATACCTTGTGGTTGTACAACATGACGAGTAGTTGGGTTGTTAACTAGTCGACGTGTTTCGTTATATCAGCTTAGCCCCATCATGAGATTTCAGAAAACTACATAGGAAGTGAACTGGCACTGAATTAACTGGTATTTAAGATTAATTGATTTTGGTTTGACTAACATGGTAAAAAGACCTCTGTAACTTAGGCTAATAATTTGCTAACTATATGCTCTCAGGTATTTCACGAAGGAATCCTCATGAAACACCACTTTAGTTTATCAACCGAGATGCATCAAAACTAACCAATGCAGAATCCATAAAAAATTGCACAGACAACCTGTTCTATATCCTAACCACAAGATAAAAAATGCAATCCCTCAAAGTTATCGAAACTGTAACACAGAGCACTTCTGTTACCCTCATACATAATTCCATAAATCCTCTCTGTAGGTTGGCTTATGATGAAGTTAATTTCTAATAGCATTTACATTTACCCATTCAATAACATAAAACTTGGCCCATGAAGGCATTTACACAGGGAACACTGGTTGAATAAAGATTACTTTCGTTTAGTTTAAGAGCAGTATTGTCTCAAGAAAATAGCCTAGCCAAAAAGTACAGCCTACTATAATCCAATTCCCAGTGAAGGCCGCCAGTGCAAGATAGCCCGTAACTCCACTCAATAAAAATACAGCTTCCATAATATTCGGCCGTTGGGAAAAAACGACAATTCGATCTTCAAGTTAGCTTGCCCCATCAAAACGGGGACGTCATGGATCGTAAAAAAGGCGACATTGAAAACCTTTCAGTCGACCTGGTTTTGCGGAAGTGGTTCAGGAATTGTAATTGCTCTGACCTGTGGATGCCACGGCGTATCGCTACTAAATTTTCTTGTAAAAATAGGGTGAGACAAGATGACTCGAAACATTGCATCGAAAATAATCATTGTCCCTAATCTCGCCATCTCGGTCTCACAAGCACAGGTTACAACAAGAGCCCGTGTACACAGGCTGTAACCTCACAAATAACCTCTGATGAAGGAGTCACATGGCGTCATGCACGCCTTCGGCAAGCGCACGCACACACGTGTGAAGATCAATGTGTGCACGCGCAAACGCCTAAACACACGAACACACACACATGCGACCAGCGTGTTCTCTTGCCTGAAACAGTGTCTACATAAACCCGGTGTCGTGCGCCGCCACAGCATTTAAGCCATGCTGTTTTTACAGTAGTATGCGCGACAGGTGCATAGTCTTTGATGCTCAAGGGAGGATGTATCCAACATGATAACAACCGGAGTGCGATAGGGTAAAGGGTGTGGGGAACTTCATATGCGTAGAATTGCTATGGTGGCTATGGATGAGATACTCAGCGAAGAAATAGATCCGCATACAGAAGGAGACCAAAAATAACAACTTGATACAAGTACACACAAAGCTTTATTAGGAAACGGCTATTTCAATGGGACATGCAGCTAGCGGTAGAAACAAATGTGAAAAAATAAGTCATGATAAGATGTCTACCACATGGCTAATAGCGAAAAAAATAACGGCAGGCACCACACCACCTAACGAATTTGGGTTCGATTGAGATGAGTTCTACTCGAGTGACGGCCGACGAACTAGTGTGCATCGAACCCAAAAGCTCACATATTCCATACATATTTATGTACAGAGGCTCCGAAAGAAATCCCTCGAAGGATTCCATTAACTGAAAAACTTTAAGACACCGATCTTTTAAATTATACGGTCGTAGCCTTTCACTCAACAAATTTCCACAGTGCAGAAACTGTTTGGGGATGTTTTTGAGGTTCAAATTATGAATTTGAGTAAATACGGTATATCGAGTTCTTTCGAGTAAATAATCCTTCCTGACCTATTTGATTTTGCTGCAAGATAGGAACCCGAAAGATTACTATTCCGCACCTGAGATAGAACTCAAACACTATCATTTGGCTGCATCATTACTTAGGCCCCGAGTTTTGTACAGACCCGAGAATTTTCGATGAAAGTCAACGCTTTAACAGGTTCTCCATGATTACTAGGAAAAAGGTACAGTTGTAAAATTGAATATTACCACAGATTTAAGTGCGTGAAGTGACTGGTTCGGTTTACTGTAAAAATAGACTGGTCGACGTGGACATGGACATGGATGAGTTGCCAAAAATATGTACACATTTGGTAGCCCGATAACACCCAATTAGTAGACTCCCATTAGATTAACAGGCGCGAATAGCCAATCAATTCTGAATAAATACACTACGCCTTCAGTATAACAATTCCGTCCTTCTGATGTCTTTAAAGTGGCAACAACTAACAACAAACGAAAAGTATTCAGTTCAGCCATGTGGGCTTACAAAATGGGTGACACACCGATAGATGACTCGATATAGTCCCGGAAATTTCACAACGCCGCTGCACCAAGAAAGCAGGCATTCGAAAGAAGAACAATCAGCCTGTCCAACATGACAGGCGCCGATCAAAATAACTTCGACGCAGTGTAATATTTTAATTTGCTAAAGTATCGTATGTGCATGCAAGTGAGAGTATGCGGGGGCCACACACAAGGTAGGAAAGCGGGCCAACAGCGGGGACAAATAGTCTAAAGATACACACACAAACACACACACAGCCGCATGCGCACATGGTGATTAAAAGTGAAAGGCGTAGAATTAGGCCTTGGTGATTTTGTGCGAACGAACTTTACCGCATCAGCTCACTTGGGTTTATAACCAAGATGCCAGCATAAGCAGGTAGGATAAAATTGACGTCTCGAGGTATGGGAACTGTCGACAAACACTTAAAAAAATCTCAACAATTCAAGTGACTCAAAATGCCCTCCGAAAACGAGGTTGTTTAAAAGGCTTCTAATCTCCTTTCACATGAAACGTTTCTTTAGTGTGAGATGCAAATTCAATTAACCTGCGCATTACTTTTATGAATGGGGTTAGTTCTAAGACATCCAGAAGGCACCCACAGGCACTTTAACCATGTGTTCAACGGCTAGAATTCGAACAAGTGCCAAATCACAACAGAAGATGATTTCAACCAAGCCGCAATTTTGTTAAAAAGTCCAGGCTGGCTCCGACGATGCTCAATAGAGGGTTCTAATAGACAGTCATCTTTGTTTAAACATTGCCCTTCGCCCACGATTCTGCGTATAACAGCGAAATTTAGGCGGGTTAGCGCTTAAGAGGCTGTTTTGCATGGGAAAGGAGTGTTTACACAAAACCCATATTTTCTAATAAGGAAAATCTTGATAGGTACGTCTAAAAACAGTGGTAAATGCCTTGATTCAGTGGCAGTTATTAATATGCTAAACTGTTACATTTAGTCAAGTATGAGCTAGCGAAGTACAGCAAAAGGCAAATGGTTTTACACTTACTAGGAATACGCCTTTCGGACATAAATCCATTCAGCAAGTTGACCTGAGCAGGGCCACTCGAATGCTGGTAACCATTTTGAGAAGTGCCTGGTGGTGGCGGCGGCGGCGCTTGGGGCGGTGGCATTGTAACACGGGCTTGATGGAAAGGACTGTTGTGGCATGATGTGGTGACTTTATCAGGAGGGAAGAATTCCCCTCCGAATCCTCCGGTGGCTTGTGCGCTAGGCGAAGGAGGCACACTTCCGGTGGTCGTCGCGGCCGCAGCGGCTGCCAACTCCTTCGCCCGTCTAGTTTTGCTCTTTGACTCAGCGAGGATTCGATCGAGGACCTCGCGAGCCTCCGTCGAATCCATTTGCGCGACATCAGGCCACATCCAGCCCACAGTCTTGGAGTTCCGGCTCGAGGCCGAACCGTTTTCATCACAGTCATCACCTGTTGAATTAGCCCTCGGTTTACCCGAACAGCCGCCACCCTCATCTAACTCCTCACTTGCACGCCGCTCAAACTGACGCATAACCAAGTGGCCAATCAATTGCTTGGCCTGTTGCACCCGACATTCAGCTGCCTGATTAGAGGTCATGCCCAGAGACTGGTAAGCTGAGATCTCGAATTCTGAGGTAGCTGAGGGACCCCTAGCCGCCTCCTTTGGTGGGCTCTTAATTTCGGTGCCGGTGTCTTTCTGAATAGTAGTTATGATAGACCCCTGTGTGCCGATAATCTTGCCGACCATATCCTGTGGTACTGAGATTTTGGAACGAGCCAATAATATCCGTCCGCTTGAGCCACCAACATTGTTGCCTGAAGAGAGGCCGTTGCTGAAGGCGAAGGTGGCAGCGTCTGAGCCGCTATTAACATTGGTTTTGAGGAGAGGGGCCGGAGAGGGCAAAGAGCCAGTAGGAAGATCGTCAGGGCTTCGATTCATGAGGCGTCCGTTACTGGGGGCCGAACCATTGATAGAATTCATTGAAAAAAGAGCCATACAACCAGGAATTGAACTTGTGGAACCGCGACGCCGCTCACTTGCAGACATCTTGCTTTGAGTAATCTCTTGTGCACGAGTTGAAATCAACTCAGCTACATGAAGTGCAATCTCTGGTGGCGCTTCGATTATGAAGACATGGTCTTCATATTCGCCAGGAGTCGTGATAAGTGCACCGGTCTCCTCCCGAATAAGCTTAATTTTCTGGCCTAAAATATAGAGTCCCAAATTAGCCAGCACCAATGTCGGAACGAGGAAATATTCAAATATTTACTGGTGGGTAAAATCATTGGTATTAGCTAATAACCATAAGTCGGTAGAATAAACGTTGGGTAAGCGTGTATCTTGCGGAAAAACTCTCAAAACGTCAAACCCAACCATATCTGGCGTTATGTATCCAGAGGAGGCATGGGATACACTGAACAATTGTCACAACGGCTCAAATATTTTTGAAATGTCAAATTCGGTTTTAAAAACTGTCGACAATTCAACATTATCAGTACTTTTTTTGTTGCACTACAACACCCTGATCAATAATCAGACTGACACAACTCAACAAAAATTTATCCCCTAGAAGGCTTGGAAATACGAATCTCACCTAAAACTTAAATGCATCTTAACTATCATAAACCCATTACGCTAAACATGTCACTGCTTGTAAAATTTACATAATTCAATACCAATTAGTGGACAATGCGACCACTACGAATTTTATTTGGGTGCTCTTTAGCCCATACATTTCCTTTCGTTGGGGCATGTTGATGGTGCAGAAGCGAAGAGAATTTGCAATATTATTTGTCGACTTCAAACATTTACCCCCATTTGTGCACGTAAACTTTTCTACTGGGGGGACCCCAAGGGTACTTAAAGCAACAGCAGTCTCCAACATCTAAATTAGAACAATTGCCCACTTAAAAAACTGAGCAGGTTGATATTAGATTCAAAAATCGACAACCGTTTTGGGAATCTGACCATATTTTAAGGATCAAATGTCTTAAAACCAAAAAAATAGAAAATAACCATAAAGTGAGGTAAAGATTATGAGCCAGGATCGTTAGTTCTCGAGTGCCTCAAGTTCATTTCAATGTAAAAAGTGTCAACTGACAGTTACAACAGAGGATAGGATTCATTCAGGGAACCGTGAACAGTTCGCAGCTAGATCACTGTGGGGGAAAAGTAATTGAAGTGACCCGGTTTTCATGCAAGAGCAAATGATGTGTTGACGAATGAAAGAATACACGGTATTATTCCTGTTCAATTACCAGACGGATATGGTTGAACCAACAGCCACCATGTGATTATCGACTCCGCTTGACGATATCACACCACCTTAGTAGATTTATGTCGAAAAACCAGCTATTTAGATGGACCTATTCTACGCAAATTGACGAAGAACGCGCACGCACGCAGGCACAAAAAACACAAATTAAATAATCTGAATGCAAAAAATTACATTCTCTGTCGGAACCAAAGAGAAGCCCACATAAATGTATTGCGGAATAAATGATGCAACAAAACTGTCAACATCTGACTTTTGAGGTAGTTTTGATTAAAAATCAAATTGGACATTTTGGAGTCAGATTTGAAAAGTTAACCCAAAAATTGTACAGGTGAAAACAAAAGGCTGGTTAAAATTAAAATAGCAGACTTTTGAGCAAGTAAATTGCAACCGTTACTCATCTGGTCGATAACACAAGGTTTGAACCAGACAGTCACAGAAAAGCCTCCCACGATGTCTATATGAAGGTACTACATACGTCCACATATCACGTTTATAATACAAACACATCATAAAATGAAAATGTATTAGAAAGAATGAGGTTGCAGAATGTGACGCTATAAAATTTAGATAGTTTCTCATTTACCAACCGAGGGTTTTCAAATTGACACAGCTCCTCACCATATTCTGACAAATCTTAAATCCTGTAAAGCGAAATACTACCATGGAAATAACGGAGCCCATCTATGGTTTTAAAATATTTAAAAATTGCAGCAATGTATTTTTAAGTCATACACGTACTCCAACATTCCATTTGCAAATACTTAGCCTACATGACCCGTTGAACGCCTATAGGAATGAAACAGCATAAATCACATCAGGTCCTCGAGCAAAACAAATGGGACATGCAAGCCAACTAAAATGCACATAAATGCATTGAATATTTTGATCATCCAATGAAGCTTGAAAATGCAATTGAGCAGACATCCACGCCAACGTCAACAGGACCCTTGGACGTGTAAAATTTCCCATTGTCACAGCTCCACAAACGTAGACGTCATAAAGAGCGCCGTGCTTTGATTCGAGAACACATCCCCTGGCGTGGCGATGTGGGAAGCGATTCGACTAACGATGGACACCGGCTTCAAATTTGAGACAAAAAGATTGAGAAATTCAACCGGGAGATTCGCATAATCCCGTTTACAAAAACATCCACGAAGACGCTCAGTTATGACAATTACAGTATTAATACTGGTAAACAAGAAAGTGGATGTAATCCATTTTGTCACCAGGTTTTAACTCCACATATTTCAGTTCCTGGACGTGGCGTCCAAATGTGGCTAATAACCTTGGAAAAATAGGCGGCCATGAATTTCTTCCGATTTACAAACAAAACACCCACTAATGATAACGAAAAAGGGAAAATTATCCACGACATGTTCAAAGCGATTACAAGATTATCTACTTGCAACAGGAACCCCTGTAGTGTCATTAAAATCCAGTTGATGAGAGTTTTTCTTTCAAATAATAACAAGGCACACGGATTTCCAAGTTTTAGTGTGTGAAAAAATGACTGGCCTGCCTAGCCCGCCAACTTAGAGTAAAAGACTATTTTGACAAAGTGTCTATTGTTTATTAAAGAGCTGAAGCAAAAAGGAGCTAGTAGTGGTAAATCAACCAGCATCAACATGACCTACGGAAGATTTTGTGGAGGCAACGGTACTTATGTTTCCACTGTATTGCGGCGTCTCAAGATCATTGAGGCCAGTTACATGATCCACAAACAAAACCCGATACTGTCTTAAAAACATGAAAAGTCGTGAAATAAAATGCACCTGACTGGGCCAAAACCTACCGCAACTGGAAAACAAAGATAACCTAACATGATTACTGGGGGCGATTAACTTATTAGCCACAATGACATTCGACGGAGAGATTCCTGACAAATAAAAATTATCATGAATAATAGAATTATGACATTAGGAAATCGTTATAACAGAAAAGTGTAAATAAAGTGTTCATACCTCCTTTTCCGACAATTTCAGAGACATGATCTTTGCTTGGAACTCTAACGCCGAGTTGCATGTATGAGGCCTTCGTCTTGGCCTCTGTTTCTCCATAGCGGTTTCGGAAGTGGGCGGAAATGCGGCCATACGTGTGACTTGTTGAGCGTCTGGAATTCTCCTTAATTCGTTCTAACTCGGCGCCCACAATATAACCGCGTTTTTGAGCCATTGAATTGTAGAATAGGCGGTCTTGCATCAACAATCCGGGGGGCTGTCCGTTGGCGTTGACGTTCATAGAAGAAATGGCGGTAGGCCAGCCATTATCACATCTTGGAATGGGCATTGAGGGAAATAATTCTCTCTGCGGTGGTCGTCTAGGAAGCACCATCTGACAGTCAATCGGATTCGAAAAAGTGTCGCACCGCTGACCGTTGCCATTTGATAGAAGATTGTTACAAAGTGGGTCGTTCGGATGTTTTAGAGAAGCAAAACCATTCATCGGATAGTGATTGTAAAATGGAGAATTCTGAAGGCTATGATAATCATCCAAAACCTTTGTCCCAGGGTTCGGTGTTGAAAAAGCACTGTTTATCATTCCAGCTGTGTACTTATTGATGAGATGTGAAGAGGACACTGCAGCATATCCATTTGCCCCTTGTTGAACTGGAGAATTGCACGTAACAGGATTGGATTTGTTCGACAAAGCTAAGGAACCATCCTTATCTAATGAAAAGGTTTTTTGGGCACTAGCCGGAAGCCCGAGCGTATTTAGTCCACTGAAGGACGCCCTGCTATTTGACCCACCGCTGCAGTCTCCATTATGCATGAATGTTAACAGTCGATCAGAGATAAAATCGTCATCAAAGCTTGTAGTCGTAGCGCTTGGCATAATGGAATGCCTTTGAAGTAATATTCACCTATGCATATAGAACTTTCGATCTCGTCGTTGTTCAGCAAAGCAGACCACGACCACTACGAACAGACTTACAAGTTTGTGATTAAAAGCGCGAACGGCGCAACCTACACGCAAGACGTCTTACGGCTCAAATCTACGCGTAGCCTACGTTGATCTCTCAGCCAATGAGTGAAGCGCTGTTGCCACAACTGTCATCTGCCGCGTCGCTATTGGCTGTCTTAGTTGGCACAGGTACCAATCGCTAGCACGCAATCTTGCTGCGTCATCACCTGCTCGGCCTGTCGTCTGTTTGTCGTGTGCGTACGTGCTACCGACGCTCCACCGGCTAACAGCCGGCTGCGTGCGGACGTGTGTGCGGTCGATAATATATACGTGTGTACTGAAGCTAGATGCGTACGTGCACTGGCCTGGTTGACCGGACACGTGCCGGCTGGCTGAGTCACTGCCATTACAACGTTTTGGAAGCTGGTTGGGTTGACCCGTCTCCCTGCTTAAGTGTGATTTACTGGTTTCATTGCCCTACGTGTAAAGTTAAAAATTTTTTTTTTAAATTGGCGCACGAGATTGGCATTTAGTGTATTTGCTATGGCATATGTTGCTCAAACAAGTGCAGGGCGTAGCTCACTTAGTAATGTAATCGTTATTAGTAGATTTTTTAAAAAGTTTGGCAATAATTAACTCAATATGGTTCTAAAGCAAGGTTATTTCTGTCAAGTGATTCGTACTTATCATTCAACCACATTCAGTGAAGTAAATGCAGGGGGAAATCGTTCAAGTTTAATTCTATGCCCATTCTTCTGGATAATTACCATACAATGTCTCCATCTTGACACACCTCAGAGTTGCCATACCTTCAACAAGCTCGACGTTGCACTGTCTTCCTGGAATGCCTGGGAGATAACCACTAAATATCAGCAGATTTCCAACAAGCCTAACTTGAAAAATTCATGCTGGTGCGTCTTGAAATTCTCAAGTAAGCTGAAATGTGTCGTTAACAAACAACGAACAAGTAAAATATGTGCACCATATGTAATGTGGACATTTCAAAAAGTTTGTTGTGTAACAATTTCATTTGTTTTGACTTCATTAACATTTTTATCACAGTTGGTTTGCTGACGATATCTTGCTGTATTCGCACTGTTAAGACATGCACTAATTTGACTGAGGAGTTTCGTATGCTTGTACGTGCATCTGTCACAATAATGCCTACAAAAGCACTGAGGTAGTATCAGTAACAAAGAAGCAATGCAACTATTCTTTATGGAAAAACGTATGAGAACTAAAGAGGTGTGCGGAATTTTTGATGGTAACCCATTACACGACGTTCCGGGAAACGATTGAAGCTTTATTGTATATCCCCCTTTTCCGATGGAGTGTGTACGCTTTGACGTCAACTAAAGCGAAATTATTGAGGCTGAGATTTACGAACACTGCACGTGCTTTGTGGCAGTCTGAAAGGGTTGTTATAAGTACTTACTTCAAAGCTAAAGGCGATGAAGTGGGTGGCTAAGGCCTTCCCCAGGGACTGCGCTCATGGGCCCATCCACGTTCCTTAGCCCAAAGACTATGTGTATATTGGAAATACCATAGTGGCCGAGACCTTACATGCAGAAGTCCGCCCTAACCGTTCTGCGTTAGTATTCAACGTCACTGCGCCATAATTCTTCACCCAATTGGAGTTATCAACGCTTCCAACACTGCCCCTAAAACAATGCTCGTCGCATAGTAAACAGGGTCGCCAAAATAATGAGGCAGGTGTTTAATGTGTGTGTCCATTAATGCGTGTTGTCCATTGACACTTAGCCATAAAAGATGCGACCTTATGTAGACGCAGTAAAATTCATTAATGTCAAATAACCCATGATGTTATTCACGTGTTTGAAGCCTCATGAGAAGCGCAAGCGTGCTCTTGCTGGTGTGGCCTGTCTCTCAATTATCAATCCTCATCAACGTTCATTCAGTCACGCATCGGTTGCTCCCATTTTGTACACTGAATAAATTGGAAATAGCCGTTAAATAAACCTACCAAATCTCTTTGGGGCTGTCATCGTCTCCATGCTCTTCAATAGGCCCGTAGGTCTGCTGGCAGTTGGGTTTCTGTAAACTTCTTTTCCGTTCGAATAAAACACTGCTTTTTTTCTTGAATTTGAACTCTTCTTCGAAGTTTTTGGAAGCCAAGTGTCATTCAACAATTTTGTTACTAGCGTCCCATAGAGAGTAAAGATAGAATGACCTTCTGTTTTCAGCTGTAGCCAGTTTTTCAAGCTGTCTTTATGGCGAAAATATCTAGGGAATGTGAACAAGTTCATCCTGAGTGTTGACTTAAAAGTGACTAATTCGAGGAGGATCTGTTGGAAAGAGTAGTCATCGCCGGATCATCCTTCGTCCAGCTAATGTCCCTTCCCTTTTTACATGTTAAAAACAGCAACCCCCAGCAGTGCTGTGGCATTTTAGCTACTAGTTCCAAGGTGGGCAAATGAGGAGCAGTCAACACCCTTCAAATTGTTTTTTGCTGACTAACGTCAGTGTGAGCCTCAGACACCTAACTTAGCCCGCAAATTAAACTTTTATATTAGAATGATTCAAAGAGGGCTGAGTACTTGGCTATTCAAGGTCAATTTCTGCAGTTACTACCATAGGAACGATTGCAACTCGCGAAGTCCCTATAGGTTGCTGTGAGTCATCTTTTTAGGTTGAAGCTTTTGCATTCACATCATGAGCGGTAGTATTCAGATAAGTGTCAGAATTTCTTCTTGATTGTCTATGGAACTTTAAAACAAATAAAACCACTTATTATGCAATTTATTCTATGAAAATTAAAAGTCCAGAGAGAGTCCCATTAAGAACCTAGGTGGTTCCGAAATTTCCAGTAAATTCAGTAAATTCACTTTCTCTTATTGTAACCAAGTTCCGATTATTCTCTCTACTGGGTGGAATCAGTTTGAAATTCTAACTCAGGGTGTCAGATTGAAATTCATCGCTGGATGACTTTCGATCGTTCACAAAAATAGCAATCTCAAATGATTGTTGTCTTTTTCTAGTGGGTTTTGATGTAAAACGGGCTGTTTCCACATAATAATTCAACCACTGGATTTCTAAGCTGACGCGTCTCTGCCACCAGCTTGATGACCATCTCACCTATGATTAATTCTACTTTGTGTAAAAGAATTAATCAACACACAATACGCCAGTTTAATAAGCACACAAGAATGAACGATGGTTAACCATGGATTAGCAGGTATAGGCGCCCCTTATCGAGGTAAAAACTTCTGTTCCCAACTGCACAGAACTCCGCGTTTCAAGAGCACAATTGCCGTATGGATTACCACCGGGTTTTCCGTACTGACGGCCAATAGTTACCTGAAACATGTTCATTACCTTCTTGCCATTGTACTTAGCATTTTTTACGTAATTAACGTCTGAAATACTTGAAAGGTATTTACTCCGTGATGCAGGCCAGAATATTCGGCTTTCATAACTGGGAGATCTGTTCAAAAGTTTTTCCTATATTAAATAACAAATTAAGATTATAAGCCCGTGTAAATTATTGAAGGCAATTTATCCCTACGTATGCAGGTACCGCTCAACCTTCTGTGGTAAACGTCAACAGCGATTAAATCAAAAGCCGTTTTTACTTTGCTTTGTGCACACGCAAATTTCGGCAGTGTTGTTGGGATATCTGGCAGACAGTCTCACTGGCATGTGACTTCGTGTTAGACTTGTCAAACCACATACCAAAGCTTACTAGCAAACATCAGAACAGACCGTTAACTGGCAATACCATAGGCACGTCTATTACACCTGTTTGGCTTAAAGTATTATCACCACAGTGCTAAAGAACCAAAAGCTCCGTCCTCACCGCTTTCGCATTGGTAAGATTTTGGTTAATCCGCTTACCACAAATCTTGCCATTGGCAAGGGCAGTTGATGTTATCCGTTCTCAGGAGACATGTGGTGATCTCTTTTAAGGACAAAATTGTTGACTTCGAGACCTGACAAGGAGATGGTGATTATTTCAACTAACAAATAACTCATCGACGGGTGACTCACATTTAGTCACGCGGAATCTACTAGACGGAAAGAGTTGAGGAGGAAATTGTCACACAAACCCGCCTGAAGTTGGTGCATAACAATTCTTCACGAATGTTAGCGGTTAAAAGAAAATGAGATTTTAGCATGTTTAGGTGTTTCTGCCTTAATGCATCCTACTACAGGAAGTTGATCGGCACTTTAGTTGACCCTAGCATACAAATAAAGTATTTCTCAGTATTTCAAAGTATTTACCTGAAACCGTTTTGCATGGTTTATCTATGTTCTGACTTTGGTTAAGACAAGTGCCTTATAGTAAAAGTGGCAATTTATGTTAGAATAAATAGAGATAGCGTGAAATTGATGGTTGACAGTGGATGATCATAATACGCATCTGTTTGCAAAAACTAAAATAAAAAACGTTACTGGTCCATTTTAATGGCACTTACTATAGGATGGTTTACCAGGAAGCACCAATTAAAGTGTAGCATTGATCTGTTTGAAATAGGAATATGAAAACTTAGTGTGAGAAAGCACACCCACCCACACACGCACCATACTTGTCTAGACTACTTCGTAGAAGGGGCTGTGAAATTACCATAAGGCATGAGTATAAAATGTTTCAAACCGCAATGATATTGCAACAGAACTTAAACTTTTGAATTTAGATGCCATCGCGACCAAGAATGTTGGCAGCACTTTAATACAGTGCGCTAGTTAGCAGGCATTCGTAGTCTCAAATGGAGGAACAGAAGGCATTTCAAGACAGATGTTTGTCAACTGTTTGTGTGGTAGGCTCCAATTAAATAATAATTCAAGCCAAAAGATCGGTTGAATCCAGACCCTTAAACCAGCGGCAGTGTAATATGTGTAAGAACCCTTTGTGTCAAAGGAAAAAGAAGCAGTCATTGATAGCCACTTTTAACTGTTCAGCTGTTATTTGGACTAAGTCCGGTTTTATTTAAATCACGAAGAAACGACATTAAACGAATAAGAGTTAACGAATAAACTGCAGACCTGGAATCTGACAATCTATCATTAAGGCTCTGAGCGTGTTGTGAATCTTGTTTAGTCGACCCCTTAATCCGATCGCTCCGCCTCCGACACATGGTTCGCCTTCTTATAGCATGGCGCCAGCCACGCAACGCCTCAACCCCCCTTCATTCACACGAATATTTGGATTATCCTCACGCCCAGGTCTCGATGTTAGCGCATCTATGACTCACGCATCCGAGGCATAAATACACACGCGCAAACCCGACACAATGACACCAGTTTCGGTTGAGCTCTGAAGTAAACGGTTGTGTCCCATCCTCTCCAGTCTTTTCCTTCATCGCGGGCATCAGGCAAGCCTAATCGGGCCAGGGTTAATTCCGTGGCTCCGGCGTGGTTCAAGACCACATGCTGGGGCCCACAACAAGCGTAACGTAATTTAAATACTTGACATGCTGTCTATTTGTAACAGTAATAAGCTTCAGTAAATAAACTGACGCTTTTGACGCACCGAAATCCCATTAACAAACCCTCGAATAATCCACTTATATCAAGTGCACCACTGCGCACGAACTTGAGGCTCCATACGAGGGCTGGAATAATAATAGCAAAGTCGTTAGGCGTATTTATGCGTAGTCAACGCGATGATATTTATCAGGTTAGTGACCCCCTCGATTTTACAGTCGCGCGGGCTAGCCCTTGAGTCTCTGACCAGTAACTTGTGATGAAACGGCTTAATCGACTCGGCTTTGAGATGAAAAAAGGAAATTTTTACATTTCCGATAAGTTAAACGATGATTCGTTGACACCTAATTTGAACTGTGATCCAACGAGATTGTCGTTTGCTTATAGCTACCCAGTTTTAATTTGGTTTCTAAGTATTTGATGTTTGGAGACGTGTTTCAGGTTTCCACATCAATTACACAAACACTACGCGCATCTGACAACTGCATTTATTTGATCCCTTCATCGTCTTTAGTTTCACACACTGCGGACAGTTTACACAGCTGGAACAAGCCTAGTGAGCGAGAAATTCGATACACCTTTCTTTCTGAGTATGACATGACTAACTAGTGTGCACCTATCTTGATTGGGTCGAAAAAAATCAATCGCTGCTGGGATTACTGAAGCGATTTGACACAGGATGTTGAACAGGATGTTGAACAGAGGAAATCAGGTATACTTCAGGAAAAAATAATAGAATTATGCGTTTCCCTGAGATACAATACATGCATTTTTCAGGTATACACAGCACTCCAGCATGTTGCGAAACTAATTCGTATACTGATAAATAGACCATTGTGAACTCTTGTATGCTTTCAACTCTTGTATGCTTTCGTTGGCACTTCCAAAGCTCCTCAATTGAATCCCAAAGTTGGGATCTAGACCAAAATTATCTCAACGATTTGGTAAAATGCCGTTTATGCCAAAATGCAGTTGATGCATTTAAGCCTTTTGTAATTTGGGTTAACAGGAACAGCTTGACTTCATACATGCTTTCATTTGTACTAAATTTAGCCTGTAAAGTAATTCCATAAGTTCCTGCCTTCGGGATTCCTTTTTTACCAGATGTCATTGCTACACTTTACATTTGCTAGGGTTGGCAAATAAATTGCAACGTTAATAGAAAATCGAAAGGTCTTAGAAATTCACGATTTGGTGAAAAGGAAGAATTATGCGAATTGCTACGTAATTTTGTTTTGCTTCCTTCTTTCATCCATTTACCCACTTCCATTCATTTGCATCTTAGGTTTGCACGCTGAACGTCCTTATGCCCGATTTAAGTAGGCCCAGCGCCGTATCGCCCTCTTGATCATATTTTCTTGTGAGGTAGTGAAATGGAAAGTTTTATGCGAGCACTGACTACCACCAACCACGCGAATGCATGGAACAAATGTTGAGTATTATGGTGACTCCATTTAAGTCTTTATCCATGAATAGAGACTTCTTGCATGGTTTGGTAGCTAAATTGGCCAGCGTTGGGTGACTAATTTCATGGATTTCCTACCCTTACTTTACGTTAATGGATGTTGGTCTTTGTCCTGACAACAAAACACGCACCCCTTCAACCTCAATAAAACCCATCCACTCAAACACATTAATGTCTCTGGGATTTGAGGTTTCCCACTTGCGACGTTCCTTCACCTTTGGAATTAATAAGATCAATAATGTTTACAAATTCAGCAGTTTTGAGCCCCGAATTGAATACCTGGGTCAATGAGATCCATGGAGAGTTATAATAGTCATATCAGATGATCGCATTACTATTTGAATACGTCAACTTTTAAAATGCATAACATACTCGGTGTTGAAATATTTTACTACTATCGGATGACAATGGAGGCTAATATATTCCGATAATGGGGCTATCCACTCCGCAGGTTTTCATATGATTCAAACGGCAATGGCAATACGCATGGCTGCCTACATTCCCAAGAGCCTTGGCGCAGCTGTTCAGCTTTGACTAAATTCCACACGTAATCCCCTTTTCTCTTAAAATAAGATTCTTTCAAAGGCCTTACGTGCGTGGATTCACCTGATTGGCTGAGGATTATTCACAACTGTTATAAGCTCCACCAATTAGAATCATGTTGTATCATTATTCAAACTATACAAAACATTCCGATGAGTGGATAATGGTATTAATATTGTGTTGTTAGCGGGTTTCTGTTAAAACGATGATCCATAGTGAAAATAAAGGAATGGTGGTTCGAAGAAGTAGAAGACCATTTATTTGGAATGCCCACAAAAATTCAAAAATTACAAATTCTACATCAATCTGATTTATCCAATCAAATTGGCGACTGACTGAATCAAATGCGTTCTTTCAATACAGATTTTGAGCATAGTATCAATTAACTTCATTGAAAGATACGAGGCATTCTAGGGTGGCAAATTCCAAACATTCGCGATTTGGCACGAATCGAGGCTCAAATCTCTGACATTTCTCAGATTTCCACTTAACTGTGGTTCCAACGACATGGAATCATTTGACTGCCTAGGTTTATTGGCTACTTCTCAGATCCCATGCAGAGACGTTTCACTCGGAATTCACAAACGTACTGGGTACTTTCTTGCATCACTTGCTTGTTTATAAGTTTTACATTTTAAAAGTGATTTTGCCTAACCCTGATGGCAATGTTGAACTTGATATCAAATTTCCGATGATAAGTTAGGAGGAAGAATAGTCCGACTTTCCGCTTCCATATTAATCGTTAATGCGGTTCCAGCCACTAAAAACTAGGATTCCTCATCACTTTAAAGATCCAGTAATTTATTTAAAAACAATTATTTAAGGAACGGACAAATATTATTATTGCTTGGTTCTTGCGTGGCTACATTCTTTCAAATGTAGGAAACAAAACTTGTGTCATGGCTTTGAGAATTTGGCCAGTGTGCAAAAACATCGGCTACTTTGGCAAATGTTACTGTTCTCCGAATAACTCAAAAGTTCCACAGCAATGCTAGAACCAGGTGCTAGGTCTCTTTTGGAACCTAATCATGGAAATGGCGATTGAAAAATAAGATACCATCGGTGCTAAAGTAAACGCAGTTTGGCCTTAAAAGGTGGTCAAGTCCAGAGTAATAGCAACTAAAATGTAAACTATTGACTTCACCCTCGCTGTGAAAGAATGTTAATATTAACGTGTTCTACTAGTTGTGGTACAAAAATGACGTGAATTAGGTAATGTTTGACTTGTAACTCGAGGTAACATTGGTGCTAACATTGATTGGCCTTTTCTGAAGTGTAGAAGATTCTGTTGAAAAAATCAGTAAGTGCGCGATATCAGTCTTACAGACTAACATCTTGTGTGGTCTTTCTGAAATCCCTCGTGTACCGAAACTAGCAGAATGCTTTCGCATATTAGCGCACTTCGACATATTTCTGCCGCAATGTCATACCTCACGATTGGGTGGCTCCCAATTGCCCAGTTTAACCGAGAGTCCACCTAAAACATCGCCAGCGCAAGCATAAGAACGCACCAGCTAATGAACAGGGAAGGGAGGACGTTGTGAGTCACGTTCATCAACCCAATGGTGGGAAGAGGGAGAGAGGATGGGGTGAATGGCGGGAGGCAGAACGTTGGAGTGAAGCGCGATGGGTGGAAAACTGGCTCTGAGTCATGCTGTACGCAGGCTGGGCCGACGCAGCCTCGGGTGTGAGTCAGCTGGGCGGTACCCGCAGTGGCGAAACAGGTGACAGAAGACCGAAGGACGGTCTGCAAATCAACCTGACACTAACTGGTGAATTATAACAGAGTAAATTCGAGAAATGGTGGAAATATTCGACACTCGGGGGCCAATTACAAAATGCTATTGGGGGGTTTCAAATAAGTTTTTACGAATGTGTGGTTGCTCGTGGGTTCTGGAGGACATTTCCATTATTCTAAAATGCAAACTAGTGAAAACGCTTTCAATAAATGTCTCAAACGCACGTTATCAGGAAATCCATTTAAATTGCTACCACCGAAATAAGCTGAAAGCCAGTTCAAACTGTCCATTTGACTTGATGGATGGTCAGCATGCTTAGTAATCGGCTTTCCAGTAAGCAGCGCTTTGGAACTTCACACCAATTAGGCTGCGGATGTCCTAAAACCTCCTGAAGCACTGTACACTTAAAAGAGCTAAAATAACCCATGAGTATTGGCTTAAATAAGACATAGAAGAGTAAAATTTGGGATACACCCAATATTTTCAAGTCTCAAGTACCGTTGTAAAAACTACAATTTTACCATGTTTTGCGTGTTATTTTATGTAAAATAATTACATCATTGTTCCATAAAGCATTCCCAAATGTCTACTTTGCTCGTTGAGGATGGTTCGTCAGTGTCAAAGTCAGGAATTTGTACACTTAAAATGGGTATCAATAGATCTCAAAGCTAAGATTGACCAAACCACCGCATTGTTCAGCTTCAAAAGTACATCCTCGTGGTCTCATTTTTAACAGCAGATGCCAATAAATCAGCCACAAGCTCCAACATGCGTAGCGGTGAACCGACAGGACCTGACTGGTGAACTGTCCGTCTCTTGTATTTGCTGATTGGAAGCAATCAATGAGATAACTTCGATGAAAGACGTCTTATACAAAATCTCAATGCAACTTTTGCCTGATACCATGTTGTATTTCTATTAACTAATAAGGAAAAGTGTACCTGATCTGGCTTACTTGACTTATGCCTTTCCTAAACCGTTTTCAACCAATTCTAGAGACGAATCTTTACCACGATCAGCTCTCGTGTTTTGACGTGAACCACATTTTAGTGACTCAACATGGGGGTCGGGCTCCTGCAGCTCACCCTCAGGCCACATCTGTCGAACATGCAGCCGGCAAGGACAATCTCCTGTGATGGGTAGCCTGTAAGGAGAATTCAGGAACCACCGAGTGGGTCGGCAGTTGGCTGATGGCAACGTCGATAACAGATGTGCCATCTGCGCTAATTCGAGGTGACGTGATAATAGGTGAGCTTGAGGCTTCAGAAAACCAATCACTCGTAAAATATGAACTTTGAAATCGCAGTTCGGAAAAATGTTGCCGCCTGAAATGGTTGAAAAGTGTAGATTCTTAAGAGCAAACACAGAATCCGTTTAAAAGATGATTTTTTGCATTGAGAAGACTCATCCCAAATTCTGTACAAAGCAATAGTGATTTCCTTTCCGATCTAGTCTTCCTTGCCTGGAAATCCAGTGCTAAATGTAACTGCATGAAGCCAATTTTGATTGAGAGAAAGACTATTTTGACTTTGTAAGTTCCTAGAAAATATGGATAGGATTTCAGGATTTGTGGTAAATTCCTGAAATCCAAGTTTATGCTTCGTACACATGTTTAAAGCACCACTACTTCTATGGAATTCTTCTTATTCATTGACTGCCTTAACGACAGTTTTTCAAATAATAAATAGTTACAGTTTACTTACAAGAAATTGACATATTCTATTCAAAATGAAAAATACCGTGATAAAAATATCATCTTCTACGCAACAAGATAACCACTCAAGAGTTCAGGACTGTTGATTTTGAGAATTCACCGTCTGTTTCTTTCGCAATGTTATGCAATGATAATGTGCTTGCCTTCGGTCTATGGTAAAGTTAAATGGAATTTACAGATGCCTTTGGTTACCTAACAGTGTGGAAACAACATGGTTTCAGACATCAGAATGGTTGCTTCAAAAATCTCAAGGCCACGAGAGTGATTTGCTAGGTTTAACAGTTACGGTCTCGAAATGTCAACTGATGCAATTAGGTCAAGTCTTCTTCGACTGATGCAAAGTTGGCAGTCCATCGACTCGTAATTAATAGTAAGAACAAGCAAGCACGAAGACACGCGTTGTTCGGCTAACCTGCGGAATCCGATTTTCAGTCGAGTGCATCTTATTTCTCTGAAAACCTGTCGTATCAAGTTTTGGTACAGAAAAAAGACATTGTTAAGAGAGGATGTGGATCCGCTTATAACCTTATATCCGAGAACCCCGTTAATAGTTTTCGCATGTATCTCACCCTTGCACATCGATTTACCAGTCTATATTTAAAAACAAAACGTGGCTGGCGCCACTCTTTGTGTGTCACAAACAGGTATTTCATGGGTCTCCTTTGAACGCACCTTCCTTTTTGGGGTTGTTTTGTCTGCAAACTGCTTATTTTAAGACCATTTTAAGACCATTCCAGTGTCCATACCTCTTTAGGGGGGTCATGATATAGGAGAACGGGGTTTTGATACTCGAACGGATTTAACACCTACAAGAAAGCCCAGCTAGAACTTATCTTTTTTTATGAACAATAAACATTACAAGCATTTAGATTTTGAGCTATCGGTTACACCGGTCAAAGTTGTTGTTTTGGTTAGCTGCCCTGACGCTTTTCTTGCCGACTCGTTTAACGAAATTACTAACTGACATACCGGTAGGTGAAGCTAAACAGAGGCTATGGTGGTTTCAAATGCGAAAAATCGCTCTCGTTTCAGAAGGACCCACCCGTTTGAATGTGTGCTTTTTAGGAGAGGGCCTTCAGAATTGATTCATGTGCCCCAACTTTTAAGTAGGTTTGAAAAGCGGGAGGTTTCAACACGTAAATTAGAAAGAAGAATGAAGTTTCTGCATGAAGGTTAAGATGTCTAAACCTAGGTTAGGCTTAGCTACATATCAGAATTAATTTAATGGGGATTGCTCACCAGTGACGAAACGAGCAATTATGCTTGCTCAACCGAGCTACGTCAGCTTGTGACGCAGTCACTTATCCAGAGTCAAATATCCAAAAATGTGTGTAAAATGTTTTTATGCTAATCACTTACACAGTATGCGTTCAAAGTAGCCCGATCGACTTATCGAGTTCATAAATAATCGACAAGCACGACAGCGATGACTTACGTCAACTAAATCACTACCTGCTATTTTTTTCAACCGAAGGCAACTTTTGGCTTGCACAAAATGTTCCTCAATTGAGATACACACCGGCATAGCACTGTTTCGGGCTAATTGCGGCTACGCGTAATTCACTCATGAAGGTTCAACATGATCCCAAAACTTGCTAACCCTTTAGAACCCATTTTGAGGCAAGTGACTCATCGATTGGTCATCACATCCCCAAAACTTCGTTAATCCACCGGTGCAATCATAATCCAAGTCAGGATATGCATTAATAAACGAACAAACCCGGTTCTAAAATATGCGTTCTGATTTCACTTGTTATTATAATTAAGCACGGTAAACTAGAGGTGTTCAGATTCTAAATGAATCGTTATGAAACCTTGATTCTTCTTCGCCGGTATCATTATTGTTAATTGCGGGAAAACTTACTTCGCTGTAATATCAACTTGTATAATCAAGGAAAAAAAGATGGCACAATAGGATCGTAGGTGAAACATTGTGCCCTTAAGAGTATAGCAGCATGTACTTGGTGTAATCAGATAATTGTATATCTTCCTACCCTCTGTAAAACACTTTAAGTTCTAACTAAATCGGCCCATTTGGAGAGCGGTAAAAGTAGACTGAAGAGACGTCAGAGACTGGGAAATTTGCTCCAGTCTGAGCTTATGTCTGTATTCGACCGGCAGCATAATTTGGAGACTGGGTGGCATGTCATTTATCTCCAAAAGGACGGTTTTTTGGACAAAGTGAGAGCAAGATATTAACTGAGGAACAAAATTTACCTGTGCCAAGGTGACTTGTTTTTACAGTTCCAGTTAAACGATTACCAAGGTAACATCAATATTTGATAGTAAGACTGACCCAAAAGTTGCAAACACATCACACAAAAAATATTGAAACTCAGAAAAGCATTCAATTTTTCTCGTTTTGAAATTTTCTACTTTCTAGCACTGCAAGTTCCTAGGCTAATAATTTAGGAATTATTATAGTCCTAATAGGTTATGCCCCTGGAGCAATTTCTTAATTTGGCAACAAGATCGATGATGTGGATGCGTCGTTTGTTTCATGACGAGGATCGCCTGATTAGCCTTCGAGGGACTGAGGAGTCACATCGATGTACCTTTGGTGAGGTGTCTAGGGCCTGTCTTCTTTAACACACGACAGCATCAAACCAGGTTTCTTGCACTAAAGTTCATTCGTCCTCTTGAAGTATTGGAGGTCTGTGTTTGAAGTACGACAATGATTGCTGCTTGCCAAACTAAATAACAATTTAGACCGAACCACCAGCTTTAGTGATCAGTTTACTGCGCACACATGAATGTGAGTCCAAGCAACCACATCGACATGTGGTGCTGAAGAGTGTACCGCGTCTGAGCATCTGCAATTCTTGTATCTTGACTTTTGGTAGCTGCCGAAAGTTGTGCGCAAGCTAGGAAGACGGGGAGTTGGAGTCGATTCGGCCATTCAAAAGACTCCAACTCAGAGGAATTTTCAGTTAAATCCGTTTTAAACAAAAACACCGAATGTCTGCGACCTGCGTATTGTTCTATGTCAGGCAAAAATTAGTAGATGCAATGATACTTAGTCAACTGGGCTCAAGTTAACTTAAATATGAAATCACCAAGCGTCACTAGTTGGCATTGCTACTCCAAAATACAACTGTTAACAACCAGTGCGTGAAAACTGTAGTGTGGAGCAACGCCCACGTTAGACTTCACCTATAGATCGAGCGCATTGTAATTATTTAAGACGCACGTGGCAAAAGAATGCTGGGTCTGTGGGAGATGCACTTGCGAAAACACTGGTGCAAGTACCAACTGATAATAGGTGCACCCAAGTGAACTGGTGACTGTATTATTGATCAACCGAACATAACTGGGAGACACTAGCTAATCAAGTTAAATATCGTTAAAATCTATAAATAATGAGTCGCTATTTTCATCACTAATACGGCGGGACGTGCATTTGGCATACAAATATTTAGGGCAACACAACCGGTTTAAAAGGATTAAGTTAACACGTAAATAAAGGATGTGGCATCAGGTTACTTGTGATTATTGTGGTTATTAACGGTTCAGCATCAGAAGAGTAGCTCTTTTTTGACACAGGAAATGGTTGAAGAAAACACCCAAAAATTGGATATTTGCATTTCGATTTATTTCATGTGGTTCGTCTTCTTGATAACTGGTCCTCATCTTACCGTTAGCAACGCCTGTAAGTGCCAATTTCCTCAACGTATCGATTTACGTCGTTAATGGGACTGACAGAGCTTCTGACAAATTAGGTCCAACTGTGAAAAAATATATGGAGGATCCACAGTTTCACAGCGTCCCACTTTTACAATATCAGGTGCATTCGAAGGTGCTAAGGCTGCCACTGGAAATAATTTCTGTGATGGTAATTGAAAAATTCATCTTACAGTCTCCAAAATTTCCACCTTTGACTCCACCCATCTAGCCCCTACTTACGCAGTAGAGCATTAGAAACTGCAAAATATGGTTTGGTAGCCTCTGCAAGGAAGTTATGAACTCGGTAATTACCATACTCTCGGGTTTGTCGTGCCAATTTACAAATTATGCAACAATTTAAAATTTTACCACAAGACGTAAGTCCATTTTATGACTAGATGTGGCATATCCATTTTAAAGAACTAATAAAAACAAATTGATGGATGCTAATGGGGCCGACGTAAACCACGAAAGAGATTAAACTGATGCCCCTTGGTGCCTAAACAGCTCCAACTTATATGCTGCTTTGCACCACTATGCATTACCGAAATTCGGTCGAATCGGCTGTAGTAGAACGTAGTTTGTTATGGGACATTACAGCAATACAATTTATGTAACGCGTAAACTTGGCTCTTACCTCCACCTCAATTACCGCTTCAAGTTTACCTTGTGAAAACTCGGATTACTTGAGAAAATTTCACGAGTGCTTGCGCGTGTGCACGTGGTGGATGAGTCATCAGAAGGGTTATTTATCCACCTGTGCGGAG